GCGTGATGAAAGTCAAAGTTGTGAAACATTCACTCATTTTTGCTCGGTACTGTATGTGCAGCTTAATAGTTGTGCTACTTTTTCTATTACTTATGTATGTATAATTTATTTCTTTCCACTTTTGTCTGTCCTTTTCCCCCTTCGCGTTGTCACTCGAATGGTTTTTATTTTTTACAGTTACAAATATGCGAAACTATTAATACAGATATTAAAATTTGATGTGTCATTCAATCAGCTGCGTCTTATCGCAATGTGTCAGCTACATACATATGTACTTAATAACAAACACAAAAACCATAGAACCCAAATGAGTGATACACGACTACAATCATACATTGTCACGCACACATACATATGTATGTATGCATATATGCATGTATGTATGTGTGGTCATTTATCATGCAATAAGTCGCGCTCAGGTTTCTGTTAATATCCCGTTAATTTCGCTGTAAGTGAAATATAATATCCAAGAATATTTAACAATAGCGACAACAGACGACATTTACGTAGTGAGAATTCTCTAAGATTAAAAACGTTTAAATTTATTGTGTATGTGTGTATTTTTACATACATACATATACATGTGCTGTGTGCGTATGGCCTGCGATCATCAAGCGGTCCTTTCACACACATGAGAATTGCATTGATAATGAACACAATTCATCCGCTTGAAGCTGGCGTTTTGCGCTTTGCCAGACATTTAAAAAGTCAACAATCGGAACCCGATAAATTGCATCGATATCCATGCTTTCGCTTTCATTTTTTTCTCTCTCTCTCTTTCTCTGTCTCTCGCACACACATACACACTCGACGCCTGTGTTGAGCGTTGCCCACTCTTAAAATCTCAGTATTTTTAAATATTTTTTCTGTTGTTTTTTTTTTTTTCCTTTTAGACTTAACATAAACATATATTTATTATAATTTTCTCTTGTTTTTTTTTTTTTTTTGCTTACTGTTAACAGACTACGTATTTAGCTAATTTTAGCTTAGGCTAAGGGCTACTGCTATATGTTGATTAAGCAGTTACTGTAATTTACAAACATCTCTTTCTAAATATATATATATAATATATAACGATCATAATTGCAGGCTTATAGCGTCGGTCTATTACGTTCTGACTATTTGGCTCACGTGTACGAGGGCTGTGCAATAAAGCAGGTTGAAATCAACACGATTGCCTCCAGTTTCGGTGGCATTGCTACACACTTGGTGCCTCTGCAAAAGTATTATGCGCTCTTCTCTCTCTCTCTCTCTCTCACTCTCTCTCTTTCTCACACACACCAACACACTTACACATAAACACTCTTTCTCAATTTTCTTTCTCATGTACAATTCACATTCTTTTAAATATTAAACTTACACCTTTTTTATAGTATAGTCCAAATTGAGAGCTTGTTTCAAATTACCAACTGCAGAATTTGAGACGGGTTTGAGTGTATTTACACACCCACACGCACACACACACACACACACACACACATGTTTATATATACTAAGTTGCACGCACTTCAGTACCAACTCCAACCGTCCACTCATCTGTAATTACAAACCACTTGAAGGTCGCGACCACTCATCAAAACAACTATAAATGGCATGCACTTGCACTCTCCCTCTCCCCTCTCGCTCTCTTTCTCTCTCTCTCTCTCTCTGTTGCTCTCGCTCATTCGCTGAACTTACTCCTTGTACTCTCCCTCCCACTCTTAACACGATCTTCCACACAAATGCACTGCTGTTGTCTCTTTTTCACACTCGCACACACACACACACACACACGCACAAACAATGTTTGGCTTTTGGTTATGGCTTTAACTAGAGCTTTGAATTGCTATTCCAATTCCAATTCCATTTCCGTTTCCTTAACTAAACCCCCCCACACCCCGAACCGTAATATCCGCTCTATATATATACATATATTGTTTTTGCCTGCTCTAACCTACTACTCGTATTGTAAATAATTCCCACCCCCACCCACCTACCCCCTCTAACTAATCTAACTACTAACAAATAATTTTTTTCTCGTTTGTTTGTTATTGTACTCTCCCTGTTTTGAATTAGATTTGGATAATTCTTGTTATATTATATATTTTTTTTATTTTTGTTGCTAACTGTGTAAGTTTTGCTAATTTTGCGTTTTCTCTTTGAATGCCGCACCCACCCTCCCTCAAACTGCCAACAGCTTCGTCCTGCGAGAACTTGGACATGCTGAGAAATTGAAGCAAGTGAGTATCTTATAAATCTTATGCTCTCTCAACTATCTCTTATACACACACACATATTCTCTCTCTCTCGCTCACTTTAGATGCCGAAGAACGAAGCCTTGGCAGGTCTCTGCGATGGTATGGTCAAAGCCTGGAATATCTATAACAAGCCCAAGTCAGTCATTCTGTTCATCATCGAGGACATCTCGTATAACATTTGCGATCAGCGTTTCCACGAGTTCTACATCCGTGAGACCTATCCACACATCAAAGTGCTGCGTCGCACCCTCACCGAGGTGCACAAGGAGGGCAAATTGGGCCAGAACAAGGAGCTGCTGCTGTGCGTATAAACTCTTCATGATAACATGCTTCAATCTAACTAACTCTATCTCTCTTTTATTATCAGCGGCAACACTGAGGTGGCCGTCATCTATTTCCGTGCCGGCTACGAGCCGGGTCACTATCCCACGCAGGGTGAATGGGATGCTAGGTACCTGATGGAGACCTCATTGGCTATTAAATGTCCATCGATTCAATATCATTTGGCCGGAACTAAGAAGGTGCAGCAGGCACTGGCACAGCCAGCGGTGCTGGAGCGTTTCATCAACGATCCGGAGGAGATGAAGGCTGTCGGCAAGATCTTTACCGGCCTCTATTCGATGGACGACAACGAGGTGGGCAATGCCAACTATGAGATGGCCATGCGGACGCCAGAGAAGTTTGTGCTGAAGCCACAACGCGAAGGTGGCGGCAACAATGTTTACGGCTTGGACATTCCCGATGCTCTGAAGGTGAGCTGAGAATGCGAACTGCGCAGCTAGATATACCATAAACTATATATTCCTCTAATCACAGCGCATGTCGCGAGTGGAGCGTTCTGCTTGGATCTTGATGGACTTGATACATCCGCCGCTGTCACAGGGATACATGATACGACCTGGCAGCGATGTGCCGCCCCAGATTGTGGACATGGTCTCCGAGCTGGGCATCTTCGGTGTCATCATTGGCGATGCGGATCACATTGTCCACAACTACCAGGCGGGTCACATGCTGCGCACGAAGCTATCCACTGCCAATGAGGGAGGCGTGGCCGCTGGCCTGGGCGCGCTCGACAGTCCATACTTGATAGATTCCGACGATGAGAACTAATGCTAACTAAACTCTACCTGCCCGCCACATTGCCTATTTGCTCCAAGTACTTAACAATTGTATAAATGATATTCTCCATCTTCCCCCCATAAACTATTTTTGTAATGCGCGTAGAGTTGCAATTGGTGCAATAAATTCCACTGTAAATAAGAGAGTCGAAAAGTCATTTATCAAAATGTTATTCAATTTCACTAGTCTATAAATTTGAATTTTCGGAATGCCTGAATGAACAATACAAGTAGCACCAATCGTGGATGAGCAGTCCGGCCATTTAGTTTGTTATCGCACCATCTTTCTGTAGGTGGCGTCCATTAGTCGATCCACCAGGCTATCGATGGGATGCACTATCAATGGGATGCTGATCAACCCGATTAGTGTAGGCAATGTCTTCACCACGAAACTGGGTGACTTCTTCAACAGCGTTTTGCTGACTGCAGTGATGCTATACGGAGTGTGGAGATTAGATAAGGCTCATTAGTGTCGCATACATAGTGTACAGATAAGGGAGTATGTCTATTACCGATTGATGGTCAATCCAGGTATTATAACTGATGCAAACATTTGCCAAGTGAACACATCGGCGCCTACTAGCGCCACCTGGCGATCGGTACCGCCGGCCATTTGATGGCGCAACGCCTTGTCAAAGGTATCGGTGCAAACATAGCCAATGGCCATGCCATAGGAGGCGGCAACTATTGATTTGGGCAATAGCGGACGAAATGCCTCGCCCACCTCGTTGCTGTAGCCTACATGAGTGGAATGAATAAAGATACATATATGCAGTTGTATATGTGGCGGGCAACTCTTACCCATATAACGTAAGAAGGTATCACGATAAATATCCACTTCTTTTGTGTGTAGTTGTTTGTGCACCTGCTCTTCCAGTTTCTCGTCGAGCGGCTGCATTGTTGATTTGGCTTCCATGGTTGGTTCCGGATCAGTCATAATGTGAGTTTATTTTGTTGCGTAACAAATAATATAATTTCTATTAAAACATTTAAAATTTCTATCCTTTGAGTATATTGTCGTTTTCAACAGTCTGGCAGCTCTACGAATTTGACATATCCAACTGACAAATTGCGCTATGAATAATCGATTATTAATCGAACTGCCACAACTAACTATCGTGAAAACAACGAGCGTAATATCGGGGTTCATTTCATTGTCGTGTCCGTGCTTGCAAGTGGTTTCTAAAAACAAAAAAAAAATTAAGAAATTACCGGATTTATATGAGGTAAGTCGCGCAATTCGTGCGTATTAGTTTGTGGAGTGTATATCACCGGTGACAGCGGCAAATCTAGAATGCTAGCAAGCGACGCGCGCGCGGCAAAAAACACACAGTTTACTACAACCGCAAACAAACACACGCTCACACACACACAGACACAGCGAGACGAATGCAGATGATGCAAAAACACAAACAATGGTCGAAACCATTATTTTTTATGCGGAATTGCATGTGAAACCATCAATGCACATATTTTATTTATTTAATTGGTAAATACTTGTATTGATTCTATTCTGGCAGCCTGGCAACCGCGACGATTGCTGTTGACTTCAGTTGCTCTGGTTCTCGTTGTTCGTGTTGCTGTTGTTGCCGTTGTTGTCGCCGCTGCTACTGCTGCTTTCGTCGTTTCCCACTTTCCTGCCCCGGTTGTTATGTCGGAATACAGCGACTTAGATCGCCAGATCGAACAGCTTAAACGCTGTGAGATCATTAAAGAGAACGAGGTGAAAGGATTGTGCGCTAAGGCGCGGGAAATCCTTGTCGAGGAGGGAAACGTACAACGCGTCGATTCCCCGGTAACCGTGTGTGGTGACATACACGGGCAGTTCTACGACCTGAAGGAGCTCTTCAAAGTGGGCGGCGATGTGCCCGAGAAGAACTATCTGTTCATGGGCGACTTTGTGGATCGAGGTTATTACAGTGTTGAGACATTCCTGCTGCTGTTGGCATTGAAGGTTCGGTACCCGGATCGAATCACGCTAATACGGGGCAATCACGAATCTCGACAGATAACCCAGGTGTATGGATTCTACGATGAGTGCCTGCGTAAATATGGATCGACAGCTGTTTGGCGATATTGCACAGAGATATTTGACTACCTCAGCCTCTCCGCAATCATTGATGGAAAAATCTTTTGCGTACATGGCGGCCTCTCACCCTCTATTCAGTATTTAGACCAGATACGAAGCATCGATCGCAAACAGGAGGTGCCGCACGATGGCCCCATGTGCGATCTGCTGTGGAGCGATCCCGAGGATCAGACCGGATGGGGTGTATCGCCTCGCGGCGCCGGCTATCTCTTTGGCTCCGATGTCGTCTCACAATTCAACCGCACCAATGAAATCGACATGATCTGTCGCGCACATCAGCTGGTCATGGAAGGCTTCAAGTGGCACTTCAATGAAACGGTACTCACGGTCTGGTCAGCACCAAACTATTGCTATCGGTAAGCCATTATCTGTCGCTCTTTAACCTACAGTTCCTTATATGTATCTTCATCCACTCTTTCATTTTATTCATTGCCCATTAGCTGCGGGAATGTGGCAGCCATATTGGAATTAAACGAGTACCTGCATCGTGACTTTGTTATCTTTGAGGCGGCACCGCAGGAGAGCCGCGGCATACCATCCAAAAAGCCTCAGGCTGACTACTTTCTTTAAACTATTAAATATAGAAACTAAGGTAAGCTCCTCGCATGAGTTGCAAACTGACAAAGAAAGAATTCAAAACTGCCCACTTCGATGGAAAAGAAAAAACAAACTTGAGAAGGAAAAGTCAAAGGAAAAAAATAAAGAAATTAATGGATTGTAGCTAATCATTTTTAAAAACTGAATCATTTAACATAAATATTCCGAAACATATTTTCCATTTTCCATCTACTAGACTATGAACAAACCCTTTCTATGTCCATATATATATATATATATAAATATTTATGTGTATATGTATATACAGGAAATAGAATTTTCTAAGCCTGTTTATGTATACATCTATATACTATATATATCATTTTCTATCTCGCGTGCTATTCTCTACTTCTATTCTCTATTTGTTATGAATTAGCTCATATATTATTGAAATCTTGAGCACTGTCCGCATGCCCCCATCCCCCACCCTTTTCCTTCCTATGCCGAATCAAATCTATCTTACTAACATTTAGTTTTATAGGTACATAGACATACATCTACATACATATATACATATAAACGATGCATAAGTGTGGCCCGTGAGTCAGGCAAGAGCGCTGCATCCAATCGAAATCGCAACAACAGCAAGAAAGTGCATTGTATTACAAATTTTTAGAATATAAGCATAAAATCCTAAAAACGAGTAAACTAATTTGTACGTTTACTTACGTTTTTTTTTCATAACACAAACGACATATATTAAATAAGCAAACAATTATAATAAATAGAAGATGTAAGAAAGATTGTATTTAAAAACAAATCAAATGCATTTCTTTTCTTGGGGCCTAAAAGGGTTCGAAAAATTGCGATAGCAAATAAAAAACAAAAGTCGGAAGAGCCCGACTAGGATATGACGAGGTGGTATTGCTGTTGAAAAATTGTTATCCTCTATATATATATATACCTTTAAATGAAAAATACATTGTATTAGCTCATATTCCTTTAACAGTTCTTAACTCGAAGACTCGAAAGCTCTATTAGTATTTCTCATAAAAGCCATCGATTGTAAGTGGTTACCTTATATAGAGTTTTTCCCTAGAACTTCTAAGTCTAAAGACTGGTATTATATATAAACATAGGGAAATTTGTAACAATAACACTAGCTGTACCAGTGTGTATTTCTAAGAATCTTACGTAAGGTCTTGACATTCTATACCAGCAGTATAGAAGCTAAGTCTAACTATAGAGCTCATTATTCTCAGGATTTGTAGGTATTACGAATGGTGAGCTATAAGCACTATCGGATCATTTACCTCACAAAACAATTATAAATTGAACTGCAGTTGGCGCAATTTATTTACATGCACTTAGGAACTAGAGGTATATATAGAGTAGTATATATATGTATATATTTATAAAAAAAAAATAGAGTCGTGTATCATATAGCATAGGAGGCGCTTGCATTATTCCATTCCATATGTCCAACTAGTGTTCGGGTTACTCCAGGGACAAGCCATGCTCGTGAATGTGATCCATGATGCACTCTTCGTAGGCAGCGGCAGCGTCGCAGCTGAAATGGAGATAGGGACAAAAAGTAACTTGGAGCTTCGTCAGATATATCTAGGCAACTCACTGATCCTCGGGCACTTCAATGCCCTCACACTTGTCCACAATCTCAGTGGCAGCGGCTTCCATTTCAGCATCAGCCTTGCTCTTCACCTTGACCATCTCCAGAGCATTCTCCTTGTTCAACTTGCCCTCGTCGTCCATCTGCAAGAAGTTTGAATCATGTTTTAAATACCCTCGGCAGCTGGTTTTCGTTTCCACTTACAATCTCGAACTTCTTCAGCATGCAGGCGCGCAGGCATTTGCTCTCATGTGAATCGGCTGGTTCGTGCTGCATCATGTGCTCCACATCCTCTGCAATAGAAGGGTTTAGTCTATGTATAGACAGTGTGTTGAACTATGAACAGACCATCTGTGGCGCCCGACTCCGTTTTGCACTCCTCGGCCACCTCGGCAATGTGCTCCTTGTCGTAATCCTCATTCGGCTTGGAGGATACGGCGACAGCTGCCAGGAGCACAAGCACTGAAAGGCAAACGAAACGCGTCATGTTTAATGCTCTACACGATTACAACTTGGATACGAACTGCGAGTGACTGCTGCATTTTATAGGCGATTCTGTGAATCTGTGATTTGACTTGGCTGATTGTCAGACAAGCGACGTCTCCAGCTCTCGGCCAGGTGTCAGCTAATAGCAATTAAACACCAATTATTGCCAATTTGCTGTGGGATGCAGTTGCACTACATGAGCAGCACATGACACTCGAATCTGGACGGGCAAACGCCGGAGATGCCCTCCGCTGGGCGACGTGGGAAAATCCGCTGAAGCAACGACTCATTCCACTCCATCGTCATCTATTGCTCTCTCACTCCCTCTCCTTTAATTAATATATAATTAAGTGTTTAATTGGTAACTGACATGAAATCAAATCGGACTGCGAATTCGACTTGCAAAACAAATCAAATAAATATTCCCCAGTGTAAGGCGCTCAACACCTACAATATGATAGACAGAGATAGCCATAGCGGCCGCGAAAGTTGACATGAGCTAGATCATCAATTCGACTTTTCACAACGTTCAATCAAAACTTCTTCTGCGTCGACTGTCGAATACTCTGCAAATAATGAGTGAAATAATAATTAGGTATTATATTTACAAACATACATACATATATTGCCAAATGCTTAAATCTCTTTCCAGTGCACCCAAAAGACAACGTTTGCATGAGTGTGAGCAAAAAAGAGTGCAATGGAGAAGTCAAAGCTAAGCTGTTGAATTGGAACGAATTGGAAATGCACGCAGCCGGCATACGTATGTATGTATGTATGTATGTACATACAGTACGCACTGAATTTATTCGTACCCCCTAAAGTTTTTTCTCTGAAAATTGGCATAGGCTGCTTATTGAGTCAATTCAATCTTAATTATAACTTATCTTGATATAAAGACTAGTTAATTGTAGCAAAATTATTCATAGAAAATTAAAGCGTTATTAAAACGCTGTCATCTAGTAGGCTCTTAAATTTAATTGAACTAAATTACGTACATACATACATACATACGTATATATATTTATGTAATTCTATACATACATATGTATGTATGCATATTTGCAACAGAAGCTTCGCATAATACTCATACGCATATGCGTACATATATACAGCATACATACATACATACATATATACACGCAGCAATAGACGCAGTTATGCTCTTTCTCTTTATTCGCACTTCCATTGTATTCCATTACTCAGCCTGTCCTTTTCCACCCCGTGCATACATACATACATAAAACTGCAATCTGTTAGCTCGCTAAGCCAGCATAATTTCACCATTGTAATGCTGTGTGGTGTGTTAGGCATTTATGTACATATGTATTTATGTGTGAATGTGTGAGCATAAAATAGGCAAAGAAAGAATAAGCAGCTACCGTTATAATTTTGCATCTCTGTTGCCTGCCAACTGTTGCTTTACGCATACACATGTACATGGTCATTTGACTGCGCAATGCAGAAGCAGGAAGTGAAAGTGGAAGGAATAAGTAGGAAAAAGGAATGAGTATACACATACATACATACATAATTATACTGATGTATGTATAAATACATATGCATATGAATATGCCTGTATGTAAAATAGAATTCGACCGAATAGTAATTCTGACATTAGCACTGCAGTCGCAATGATTTCAAATACACTTGCAATACTGCATGAGTGTGCGTGTGTGTGTGTGCTTACGAATTTATTGTTGATTTGCGTGCTGTAAAAATTGTTTATTTGCGAATTGTGTGATCTGCGATTTGTGGCATTAGCAATGACAATGAAAATGATGAATCTTGAACTTCACCGTGCCGTAGCTTTGACGGCGTCAGCGAAATGGCCACGCACAAGTCGAGGTCGAAAATGATGTTAAGGTCACGTTGTCTGCCAAGAGTAAATACAGTATAAAAGCGAATGCTGAGAAATGGGCGAGCAACAAATTGAATCGCAAGATCATGCATAGTACATTGCTCTCACTGCTTGCGCTGGCCAGCTGCATTTGGATGCAGTGCAGCATGGCGGAACCGCAGATCAAGGGACAGCAGTTGCCGCAGTTCGACTTGACGCGTTTGTTTGGTGGCCGCAGCAGCGAGCCTCTGGTGACGCTGCTCGATCGCAACCTGCCCGAGGTGCAGCAGATGATTGACCGCACGAAGAAGAGCTGCCTGCAGCAGCTGCGAATGCCGGCTGTGCAGCGTTCGTTAATCCGTGAACCGAATCCCACCGAGCAGGAGAAATGCCTGCTCGAGTGCGTCCTGAAGGGCATCAAAATTGTAAGTGAATGGCTAACCATATGGAAACAGTCTAATTTACGTCTCTCTTTCTCCAGATGGATGACAGCACCAACAAGCTGAATCTGCGCCGTGTCGAGCAGCTGACCAGCCTGGTCACCGAGGACAACAAGGTGGCCATGGCACTGAGCTCCAGCCTCGCCCAAAGCTGCAATCGATCTGTCAGCACTCAGAAGCCTTGCGAGGCGGCGCATCAGCTGAATCAGTGCATTGGCCGCCAAATGGAGCGCAATCGGGTCAAGCTGCACTGGTGAGCTCTGAGCGCTGAGCTCTGCTGGGCTACGGGATCTACCATAGCCCATTTAGCTGTTGGGCTCAACCCCGGCTACCCAACCAAATCCCAAAAAGAATGTTTGCTGCTGCTAATGGCTGCTCGCTTTATTTGTCTGTGCATGTCCAGGAACCAGGATCGCCAGCTCTATAAACGAATATAGGGAATTAAAACAAATATACAAATACAAATTACACAAAAAAAAAAAAAAAAAACTTCGGCCAAATGGTCATATGGAACGTGGAGGCATTCTACTCCTTGACTTCGGGTATCTTGTAGGAGGCGGCGCGCATTTCCCGCAGCATGCACATCGATATGGCGTGGCAAACCTCGCACCTGGACAGGAAGCAAGCAGGAAGAGATTAGAGCCAGTGGGAGAGAGAGAGAGAGGGGGAGGATGCAATGTCCTGACTCACTCGTCGGTGATTCCGTTGGCTATCTGATTGCACTTGGCTGCAATCGTTTTGGAATCGGCCTCCTTCTCGGGGAACATCATGTTCATCATGTCGACGGTCTTCGTCTCATCGAACTGCATCTGGCCTTCGCCCATGATCTCGAACTGCTTCAGCATGCAGCGACGGAAGCATTTGCTCTCATGCGAGGCCTCTTCCCTGTTTAGCACCATCTCCTCAATGTGGCCTGGCCGGAGATGGATTGATTTCGGTTTCGATTCAAGTCGAGGACTCATTGTGATGCACACTTACTGCGCTCCGGCTTCGGCTCACAGCCATTGCCAAAGGGCTCCACCATTTCGACCACCTCGCTGAGTGACATGGTAGTGTCCTCCTCCTTCTGGTCGTCGGCTTGGGCCAGGGCAAGCAGCGTCAGCAGCAGCATGGTCAGACAGGTCCGTTGCAGCATCATCATCATCATCGTCATCGTCACTCTCTCTACAAACATAACTGATCCCATTTGGATGCGCTTTTATAGCCCCGCAGCGTGATGCCAGCCCGCCGATTGACATACCATTCCCTTGTAGCTACAAAAGCGGAGATCGGATCTGCACCCATGGAAACCAATCAAAATGCGCCACAGTTGACGGTGCAATCGAACATTTATTCGTGAGCCACTGGAGCGTAATGTATATAGCTATATATAACATATATATATATATATATATTTGATAGTATGTATACTCAATGCTCGCCATCATCATGTTCGATTAGGGAAACACGAAGATCTCAATCTTGCTGCGGAAGCAGCTGAGCTGCGCGTGTGCCGCATCGCAGTTGTTCTTGATGCCAACGGCTGCATCCTTGCAGTCGCTGATGCCCTTGCGATAGGAGTCCTTGTAGCTCTCCGGCATCAGTAGCTCCACCTGCTTGAGCGTCGACTCCACCAAGAACTTGCCCTTCTTCATCTAGACGAATGGAACGATTTGTCTCGCTAATCTCGCTTGGTTCGCCATCCCTACTCACCGTTTGCATCATTTCCATGATACAGTTGATGTAGCACTTGGCATCCTTGTCGTCGGGCAGTACGCCCTTCTGTATGCCGTCGGCTATTTCCGTGGTGATCTTTGGGAACTTGGGCAGACAGACGTCACGCATCAGCTTGCCGGCTGCCCACATCTGATCCTCGGTGGCCTGTAAAATTACGATATTTGCAATTGGCTAACTGGCTAACACCACCTCGTACATCCTTTCATTCGATCCTACCCCTGGACGACAGAACGGCAGGCTGACCAACAGACTGCCAACGATTAGCTGTAGATATTGCATTGCGCTCTCTCAACTGGTCCGATCTGATCTGATCTGATCTCCGTCCCAGAGATGACACCACTTTTATATTGACATTTGCATCGATATTCAAATGAGGGGTCGTCGCCACGGTCCAGCCCCTCGGGCGGTACGCTGCTAGCTCTAATACCATACATTTGACATCTCTGCCAATGACAATTGACAATTGACAATCGACTGTCGATTGCCAATTGTCCGTCCGACCAAGAATTACTCAATTGCATTTCAGGTGTTCTTGGGGCACGCCACATTGGGGTAGGACCAACTCTGGGGCAGCTCAACTGCAGTGAGTGGCTCTAGCCAACGCCCCATTGTTAAACGCTCATCATCGTCATTACGACGACCCGACCGTAATTAACTGCCGTTAGTTTCTCGCTCTCTCTCTCTGCTTGCTCTCTCTCTCTTTCTCTCTTTGTCTGTCTGTTTGTTTGAAAAACAAATATTTTAATTGAACTTAGCACGCAAGAGTTAACAAGATCTTTAGGCTTTAGATAGCTGCGCGCTACAAGCGAACTGCAACTGCAGCCCCATGCGAAGGGGCGCACTCAGGGGGGACTACGGGAGCTATGTCGGACTGACACTAGCCACAAAATGTTAGTCTAGGCGCAGATGAGGCTCAAGCATCCTTCATTCCTTATTCCTCATCTCCTCACTTTAAACTTCTAACTCTAATCCTCGCTTCTCGCTAGCCTCTAATAGACTATTCCTCTTCTTGCTTTAGTTTTAGATCTACTAAATTCTGTATTCTTTCTTTTCCTTCGGCTTTTCCTTCCTTTGGGGCCTAGCTCTAGCAAAGTTTATCTCTCATAGGGCAACTACGTGGATATATTTTCTTTTCGTTTTACTTTTTTGATTACTTTTGATTTTTCTCGTTTATACTCACCTCTTGCCTTCCTGGATCTAGCTTACTTTTACACTTCTTCGTTTAGATTTTACTCGTATTTGTGAGTTCATTGTCTTCCTCATTATCATCTAGTGAGGTTCGAATCATAAGTCTTTATTTTCTTTGCGCTTATGCTCCTTCATTCCTTTCCTTATAACTTTATTCCTCTTGTATCTTCACTCTAATATCTAATATCATTTTATTTTGTTAAGCTTTCCTTTTGTTTTATGCATGTAAAGACATGGACATTGTCTCTCTTCAGTTTCAGTCTTCCGTGTTTCTTTATTGCTCGCTTCTTTCTTATCTTATCCCGTGCTTAGGACTTTGTTTCGCTTTTAGCTCCATTGTTTGGCTCCCTCTTAACTCTTGTATTATTATATATTTTACAGAACGTTTATTTATCTCTTTGTACATTTCATTAGCTCTAACCTAGCCTAACCCACACATCCTGCGGATCCTTCATACATACTCCTAGCCAAACTTATCAACTTTGCTTCTCCCTTTCCCTCTACTCTATCGCTCTCTCTCTCTCTTCGCTTCAATTGATGGGAATGCAATCTAATTGCACAATGGCTACTTTAGTGAAATTTCCACTATTATTAGAACCTTTGAAATGAAAAAAATAGAGAAACATCTATTTCAGCTCTATGCGAATTATAGAGTTATTTGCCTAATGCACCCTCTGAGGTCTATAATAAACGCTCAATATACGTTGGATGTACTCATTATAATCGCTCGATTTCTAACGAGCTGCAATTCATGGAGATTGATTATTATTAAAGAAATAGCTTAGCTATAGGATATTTGTGCATGGCCTGAAAAGGAATCCCATTTCACATTGAAGTAGGCCCTGCCTTAAATGCTCCCTCACTGCCTGCTACACAATAGAATCATCATGCCTCTCTAGGTATTCAAAATCAACAAAAATCTCAAGCTTAAATTGCTTGAATTTCGATTCAACACACAAACATATAAAAACTAAAAATATATACATAAATCTATACACACATACATACATCTCAGGTCAAGGTATAGTCCACCTTCTAGATACAAGCTCAATCCTCCTCGCATGATGTCGGACTTCTTCAAGTTCAGCAAGATCTTTGATAGCCAAACCGTGCGTGGACGCGCCAACGTAAGTCCATTTGCCGCCATTGGCTCCACATTGTCAACTTGTCGACTAACTATCCAGATATTCGTAGGTTGCTAAGGCCACTTGGGCATCGGTGGGTCTCATCTATGTGCTGGTCAAGATGCATCGTCGCAATGCTAAGCGTCGCGAGGCCTTTCAATATTGCAAAGGCTGCCAACAGAAGCTGCTGCTCTAACCGTCGAGCAGCAACAGTTCCATTCGATGTCCCCCAATTTCCGTTTGTGTTACGGGCTGCCAATTGCTTGGACGTTAAGCGTTAACCAAATTCCTTGTGTTATGTCTTCAAAAGTTAATAAAAATTCGATCGCAGTTCGAGCAATGCAATTCACTTGCCTAACATTAATTGAAGGGATAGAATTTTCCAATATGGGGGGTGCTGTAGCGGTTGATTGATATGCCCAGATATTAGCTCGTGCCACAAAAACTAGATGGGACTATCGCCCTATATTACGGCTATCTAGTCCCAAGAGACCTGGGCTGAGCAGGGAAAGGGAAATACTACATAAATAACAATCATATTGTTTTACAGAATATCTGCTAGTCGTATACTGTTGAATACTTTGCTTTGACTTTGCCGTTGGCATAGAAGCAATCGTAGTAGGCAACTCTGCCGGATGCTTGGCTCCGATCGTTTTTTGGGGTAATTCAGTTCAGATCCGGCCCCGGACCCAGACAACCCAGCCCGTATTTAGGAAAACATAGATAAGACTAAAACCCGGAAGCTAATTGCTGTTAGTCGCGATGGCCGATGGCTTTAAGAAGTATTTCAATGGCTCCACAATGAGCGGACGTGCGAATGTGAGTAGACCAACTGTCCAATTGTCCAACTCTTGTTAGCTAACATTCCTTGCTCCTGCTGTCCCTGCTCCTGCTCGTGCTCCTGCTGTGGTAGGTTGCAAAGGCCACATATGCAACACTGGCGCTCGTCTATTTGTTCTACCGTGTGCGCCGTGGCAAGAGCCAGCCGGCAGAGGGCAAGGAGCCGCCAAACTGCAGCTGCGACCAGAAAAAGAAGAAGCAGGCGAAGGATGCAAGCGGTCGCGACTGCAGCGTTTGCCGTGAGCGGAAACCACGCGAGGATCGTTGCTCGAAGGAACCTCCGCCGCCACCGCCACCATCAGCGTCGGGCAAGTGTGAGGCGCCGAAGCGCCGCAAGTGCCCTTGTGACGCGGCCAAGCCACAGCATACGCAGCACCATCCACATAGCAACACGAAGGCGCAGCCACAGCACAATCAGCCGGCAGCAGCGAGCTTCGCTGCCAGCCCGGAGAATATGGACGAGGCGCATCCGGCACGTGAGCTCATCACGCAAATGCACGAGGCCGCCTCCCGGGTGCTGCGCAATGTGATTGGCGCCGTTATTGGCGATACAGCGTCTGGCGGCACCTGCTGCATCGACACCGACGAGAAATGCAACCGCGTTACGAAATCACTACCCACTCCTGCTGCTGCCGCCGTGGCGCCGCCAGCTGTATCGAGCCCTCCGGTCGCTGTAATCGACCCCGTTGATCAGCTAGATGACGAGGGCAGCGACTATGATCCCGATAACCAGCTGCTCATTCGCCAGCGACGCACGGCACCGCGCTCCTGTGTGCCCAACAACACCAGCAGCGAACCCGATACGGCCGCCCAGCTGGAAGAGCTTGCGGCCGTGGCGCAACCGCAAACGGAATCCCAAACTGTGTCCCAACTGCAGACTCCGACAAAGGTGCAGTCCACCACCACGACGCAGTCGCAACCAGAATCTCAACCGCAACGCAGGTTCCGCTATTTTGAGAACGACTTTGCGTCGGAGATGTTCTTCGAGGACTTTGAGGACTAAGATTTGTCGGGGCTAGATCCGTGGTTAACGGCTTATATATCTATCAAAATTCTCAATACAAACGAACTGTTTATCAAATTAAACGGCAGCAAAAATTGCTTTAGTCTTGACCACATAGCAAAACCATCAATTTCTACTATATTTATTGACGCAGAATAAAAACTGAAAATTCTTTTATGGGTGCTGGAATGGTTAAGTGACCATTCTCAGCTTGATGACAACAACTCGATTTAGTTCTAATTTGAATGCAATTAAGTTATAATTTCCCTCAATCAGTAAACGAATACTCGTCCCCTAATATAAATAAGTCATCGATTGTTAAGATGCGTTCCATTTTAGATGCAAATTGTCCAACCCAAACGTCACATATTCAAAATAATCAGTTAAATAAAATTTCCCTCAGTAGGCGGTTGAATTGGGAAATTGAGCATCGAGTGCTATTTCTCGATATAAATAAATTATCTATCGATTGTTAAGATCCTTTTGAATTCGCGTGCCCATCTCCAACGTGTCACAGATTCAAATTTCTTTCTAAGCTTAAATTTCTTCCCTCAATCGTATAGCGATATATGTAAATGATTTCGATTGCTAAGAGCTTTTTGGCTGCCTATTCCCCAACATATTAAACGATTTAATTTTTAAATATTTGCAATTTAATTTTAAATTTCAGATGTTTGCATATTTTTAATTTTCTTTTATTTTATTTTTTTCTTTTGGATTTTTGCTGAAAACACACAACTAGAATTGATCATCATTAGCATATTTTATCATTATCAATATAGCATTTATCATTATCAATAATCAATATTCGTAATTCATATCAATATCTTATCAACTGCAAGCAGGCAGGCGGCAGTTCCTGCCAACTGTAAGCTATGTAAGCATAATTATGTTTATGTATGTATATGTATAGACTAAATAGATTCATGGTGTGCTCATACATCATATATATGAGTATGTGTGTGTTTGGACTTTTTTAACTAACATTTATGCAATATGGAAATAACATTTAACGTTTACTTATTTTGCTTTTTGGTTTCGTGTGTCGCATCGGCTCATCTACAGTTTCCACTGGAAGTTTTCCAGTCTTATACTCTTTCAATATCGCGCATTCTTTTGTTTTGCTCTCTCTTTCTTCCAAGCTGTATTCGTTTATGTGAGTGAGTGAATGTGTGTGTGTGTACGTGAGTGGATATCTTTGACTATCTGCTGCAGTATGTGCAAATTGCTAAGCAGTTAATCAACTAATCGATTAATCAGCTAAACCAGCTATTCTAATGCGTTTGAAGTGCGTTTCGTTTATAGTATGTTAAGCAGCAGTAGCAGCAGCAGCAGTGGGTTGGTAAATTTCCCTTTAATTCAATGTTCGATAAATGGTTGTTATCGATAGTGCGTTTAGCCATCGTGACTGGCAACGGACTCCAGATCACTGTTGTCCTCGCTCCCAGTTGCCTCGGTGGGTTCGCCCATGGCCACGCGTGCATATTCATCGGTATCGATGCTCTTGCAGAAATGAATCGCATATTTCAGCTTCTCCAGCAGCACCGCCTACAGCAATGAGAGGGGAAGAGTTTTAGTCAGCATTTCTGGCGTAGATTTCGTTAATTTTCAGCTTACCTTGCAGGAGTAGCGTGGCATTTTGAGCAGGAAGAAGCAGGTATAGCTTTCGGGCAGAAAATGATCGGGCGGATTCTTTTCGAGCACCTGCAGCACAAAGTCTCGTCCTCGGAAATCGGCTATGGTGCGCGGCAGTCGTGTTCTGCCCCAGACAAAGCGCAGAAACAGCGAACGCTCCTAAAATAGAATTCCCGAGGGCATTTTTAGCAACTGCATCAAATTGACACTTTCGTTTTATTTGACTTACCTGGTTGGTAAACTCCTCCATGACCTCCCAGAACCAGCCGACCAGCGCAGAGCTGGGATCGAATCCCTTGTAGGTGGCAACCGACTTGAGCAGCCCCAGCGGTATGTCCGGTGAGCCGCAGACCATGGCCTGCAGTTCGGCGGCCGAGAAGAGCGAGAGCAGGGGCACGGGTATCACCTTGGACATGCCGTCCCGCACCGCTTTCACCTGCTCGTCGAACTCGTGCAGTCGAAAGCCGAGCGCCAGACGCACGTATTCCGCCCGATTTCTGGGCGAGATGTGCGTGTAACGGGTGGACAGCGGCACCTCATGTCCGCGCGCCGACGATGTCGAAAACGGCAGCTCCAGCGTGTTGAACAGCTTGGTATCGTCGTCCATGTTGCGTATGCAGAGCAGGCCGGCCACATAGTCGCGATCCACCTCGGTCAGATCGGTGGGTCGCAGGGGCTCGCCCGTCAGCTGACGCCAAACGGGTTCCGCCAAGCTGAAGAAGGCAAGAGATTTGGTTAAATTGTGGATTCATTGTATACTCATTCCAGCTGAACTTACTTGAGACTCAGCGGCGAGCCGGTGCGCACGGCTATGCCCATAAGCACGCCCAGGAAGCGGAACATGTTCATCTGCAGCACGGATGTTAGGGTTGGATCCAGCAGGAAGCAATCCCGGTTGGCACCCGCCTCGCCACGGCCGTTGGGTGTGCTGATCAGCAGTGGAACACTGCCGTTCTGCAGCTCGTCGCACATCTCCGCTATGGATTCGCTGTAGCCGCCACCGCAGTCGTCCACGCTCTCGCCCACAAACTTGACCTTCCACACGCGATGGGGCAGGGCGAGCGCCTCCTGGGTGAGCAGCGGCAGCTTCTGCACCATCTGGCCAAAGACGCTCTTCATGCCATCGACGCCGGCCAAGCCATTGCAACGGCTACGGGAGCGCTTCACCTGGATGCGATTCAGCTCGATGACGGGTCCATGCTGCTTGTCTCGCACCATTGTCGTTTGGATGACCTTGCGGAATGCGGCCTCCTTGATGTTGTAGACGAGCACGTCCTTGAGGGCGCCCAGGCTCAGGTCGCCCGAAATGGGCAGCATGGCCAGGCAGGGGCAGAGGAGCTCCGAGAAGTGGTGCAGCAGGATGAGCCGGGCGTGCAGCGCCTCCGGCGGCAGATCACGCACCAAGTCGTATTCGAGCGGCGGATTGGGCAGCGGACGCAGTCGCTCGCTCAACTGTGAGGTGGACAGGGCCAACGTGTGCGCCGATCCACAGGTGACCTTCACAATGTGCTTGCCCTGGAGGGCGGCGACCAGGCGTGGCCGTTGTATGGCCGTCACGGTGCCATCACCCAGCTGTCCCTCGTCGTTGTCGCCCCAGGTGAAGACCTCGCCGGCGTCGCTGCAGGCGACGCAGTGCAGCGAGCCGGTCGCAATCGAGATGATCTTCTTGCCCTGCAGCGCAGCCACCTTCTTGGGTCGCCGCACATGATCCACCGATCCGTGGCCGAGGCGATGGAAGTCGCCCTTGCCCCAGGTATAGACGGCGCCGGATTTGGTTAGCGCCACGGAGAACTGTGAGCCGCACTCCACCTTGATGACGCCCAGGCCGGCGAGACTCTCGATCTTGTAGGGCAGCTTGCAGCCATCGCTGCCGCCGCGTCCCAGCTTGCCATAGTCACCATCTCCCCAGCTCCAGACGTTGTCGTCGTCCGTGATGCACAGCGTCTGGGCATCGCCCGAGCCGCAGGCAATGTCAATGGCCCGATAGCCGAGCAGCGCCTCCACCAGCTTCGGTCGCAGCTGATCCTCCGAATCGCCATGCCCCAGGCGACCGTAGCGACCCTTGCCCCAGGTCAGGACGTGTCCACTTGCCGTTATCGCCGCCGAGTGGGCGCTGCCACAGGCAATGTCAGCCACGCTCATGCCATTCAGATGCTCCACCAGTTTGGGTCGATCGTAGCTCATGCGATTGCCGTGCCCCAGCTTCCCGTCCTCGCCCTCGCCCCAGGCGTACACCTCGCCGTCGGTGGTCAGGGCGAGGCAGTGCTTGCCCCCGGAATTGACGGCCACCTTCTTGACGAACACATGCTGCAGGGAGCCCAGCAGCGTGGGTATCGCCCACGAGTCGCTGCCGCCGACGCCCAGACGTCCGCCGGACCCGTAGCCCGTGGCGAACAGCTTGCCATCCGGCGTGACTGCAAACAGGGATTGCTCGCCGCCGGCCAGCTGCACCGGCCGCAGCAGGCTGAGCGCTTCGCAGGGCGTCGGCGTCTTGATGCGGCTGCCCTCCAGGCCGCCCAGCTGGCCGCGATGATTGTGGCCCCAGCCGTAGATGGTGCTGGCGCCGCCCCAGCTGAGCGCCCAGTCGTCTGGCCGGCGATTGAGCCACTGCAGCAGCTGGGCATCGTGCGGCGCCTGGAACAGTGTGTGATCCTCGTGCAGCAGCAGCTGCAACGGCTGCGGCTGCAGCTGCTCCAGCAGCAGCATCTCCTGCTGGGCCAATTGATGCGCCTGCACCTGCTGCTGCTGCTGCTGCTGCTGTTGGTCCGTGGCAGAGGCGTTGCTCACCGTGCTGGAGGAGAGCGATGTGGTCGAGTTGATCAGCGAGGCGCCCGGAGATTGACAGCCGGCAGCCACTGCACTGGGCACCGGCGTCGGCAGCATCTCGGCAAACTTTTTGCGCACCTCCAGGCAGAATTGACGGGGCAGCTCCGTGCGCCGGATCAGGGATTGGGCCACGCGCACCGCAATGCAGTAGCGCTTGAACCACGCCCACTTGTGCATATCCCCCGATGCGTTCGAGTTGAGGCTGCTGCTGCTGCCGCCGACGCCGCCAACGCCGCCAACGCCTCCGCCGCCGATGAAGCCAGTCACAGTTCCACTTGCTCCGGTGCAGGACGCGCTAGTGCTGCTGCAGATGCCGCTGCCGTTGGTGGGCAGGGCGGCGTCCAGCTGCATGTCGCAGGCGAGCGCCGCCAGCGTTTTGAAGTAATCCGAGTGCATCAGATGAATGCCACCGCGCACCTGTGGCTCCTCGTACTCGTACTGACGCAGTAGCTCCGGGATGAGGGGCATCAGTATGGCCGCCAGGGCGGGCTCCTGCGGCTTGGGCGCCTGCTCCAGCAGGAGCACCGCGTGCAGCTTCTTCAGCGCCCAGATGCGCTGGGCCGTGCTCAGGGCGCCCAGTTGGGCGCAGGCCGCCAGCGCCGCGGCCAGCCGGAGCAGCACCTGGGGCTGGCGTGGCGCCAGCCGCGCGTCGAGCAGCGCCATGACCAGCGCCATCGATGGCTGCGACAAGACGGCACGGTCCGAGCCGCTCTCGCCCAGCGTGGCAGCCGGCATGATGGCGTGCACCCAGAAGCGCCAGCCCCAGCCGTTCACCGAGCTGTCCGAGCAGAACTTCCAGCGCAGCTCATCGCCGGGCACCCGGATCTCGGGCGCCCAGTGGGCGAATTCGCGGCCCGATCGCATGGCCAACATGCGTCCGGATGCATCCATGATCACCAGCGGATCGTTGCGTTTCTCTGTGCTGCATTGGCTGTCGAACTCGATGCGCAGCATCTCGGCGCCCGGAATGCGAACAGTTCCACTCACATTCATGTTGTCCACGTACGGATGGCTGCTCTCCTGCATCACCGGCTTGGGCAGCTTGCCCAGGCAGTGGCGCGACGTGCACAGATCCTCCAGCTCCGTGATGCACGTCTCCAGCAGCATGGCCGCAATGCCCGCATTGCTGCTCAGCGAGATTAGGGTCTCGGCTATGGTCTGGGCGGTGCTGGGCGGGCCGCAGCGTCCGCACACCGCCAGCTTCAGCAGCTCGACGAGGCTCTTCGCCTCCGCCTCCTGCAGCAGGGCACCGAAATCGTCCAGCCCGTGATTGTGACTGAACTGGGCCAGCATCTCCTCCTGCTGCGTCATCGTGGCGGCCATCACGGACATCGCGCTGGCCGACATCCGCGAATGCGAACCCGCCGACATGCCCGACATGGACAGTGAGCCGGTCAGGCTCTGGAAGGCGCTCAAGCCCGAGCTCATCACGGCGGCCGGCAGTGGCATCTCCTCTGGACTGTGCTGCGCCTGCGGCTCCACATCGCTGGCATCCGCTGGTGCCTCGCCTCCGCCCTGGGCAATTGTCGTAGCAGCGGCCGCCGCTGCTGCTGCTGTAGCCGCTGTTCCTCCTCCTCCTGCTCCTGCTGTTGCTGCTGCGGTTGCTGATGTTGCTGCTGCCGATCCACTGCCAGTGCCGGCAGCCGTGTTCAGCTGCTCCTCCAGTTCGATGTGGGCGCCGGCATGCCTGGCCGCCGACTCCTTGTAGTTGACCTTGCTGTGGCTGGTGAGTGCGGCGACAATGAGCTGCCTCGCCTGCAAGATGCTCATTGCCCGGAGCACATGCCCCAGCGCCGCCTGGCGTGCCGCCGGCGTCTCCAGTGCCAGGCTCTCGCTGAGACTGGCCAGAGTGGAGCCGGTGCCGGCGCCGGAGCCGGACGCTGAGCAGGAGGCAGCCGCCGCTGCTGCTGCCGCCGCTGCTGCAGCCGAGGTGCTCGGCCGCACGTCCGGCTTGCCGGCCATGTCCGGCGTGGTGTGCGCATGCGGATGTGTCTCCGCCTCGTAGATGCCCAGGCTGCTGCCGCCGAGCGGATCCCGAGTGCAGCCGAAGGGCACCGGGCCGCGCTTCTCCTCATCCAAACTGGCATTGGGCAGGCCCCAGGCCATGGAGTGGGAGCTGCCGCATGCCACACGATTCACGATCACCGCATCCAGGCCGATCACCAGGGCCGGCTTCTTGTTCACAAACGTATTCCCGCTGCCCTGCTGCCCGTGATCGTTGTCGCCCCAGGCGTAGACCTGCCCGGCGTCCGTCACGGCCAGGCAGTGGAGCGCACCCACGGCCACGTGGATGACGCGATGGCCGCGCAGTCCGGCAATGGGCTGCGGCTTGCGCACGTGCTGATCCCCGCCGTGGCCCAGGCGATAGTAGTCGCCCTTGCCCCAGGTCCACACCTCGCCCGCTCGGGTCAGGGCCAAGCTGAACTGGGCCCCGCACTCGATCTGGATGACGCCGATGCCCGAGAGGCGTTCGATTTCGTGCGGCGTCGAGGAGCCCTCACTGCCGCCGCGTCCCAGCTTGCCAAAGTCGCCGTCGCCCCAGCTGAAGACGGCGCCGTCCTCGGTCAGCGCCAGCGTCTGGGCATCGCGACTGCCGCAGGCCACCTGGATGACCCGGCGTCCGCTGAGCGCCGTGACCAGCTTGGGCTTCAATTGGGTGGCATTGTCGCCGTGGCCCAGTCGCCCGTACTCGCCCAATCCCCACGTGTAGAGCTCGCCCTGGCTGCTGATCGCCGCCGAATGGGATGAGCCGCAAGCGATGTCGCGTATCTTCTTGGCGCGCAGCGCTTCCACCAGTCGCGGCTTGTCCAGCGTGCTGCGATTGCCGTGCCCCAGCTTCCCGTCCTCGCCCTCGCCCCAGCTGAACACCTTGCCGTCCAGGGTGAGGGCGAGGGCGTGCTTGCCGCCCGAGTGCACCGCTACCTTCTTCACCACATACTGATGCAGCACCGGCAGCTGATGGGGCAGCGGCACATTGTGCGTGACACCGAGCCCGAGTCGTCCATTGGTGCCCTCGCCGCAGGCATACACCTTGCCATCCTGGCTGACCACAAACAGGGACTTTGAGCCGCCGGCTATGTGGATGGGACGCAGGCGACTTATGGTCGGCGAGAAGGTGGGCACCTTCACCTTGGAGCCCTTCAGGCCGCCCAGCTGCTCCTTGTCGTTGAGGCCCCACACCATCACCGTGCAGGGCAGCTCCTGCTCGGCATGTCCGGTTAGACTCTCGGCTAGTGGCGCACTGGTCGCTGATCCTGCTCCTGATCCTGCAGTGGCTGTTGCGCCTGTTGCTGCCGCCGCCGCCGCCGCTGCTGCTGCGCCCGCTGCTCCATTCGTGTTGCCATACTCGCAGGCCAGGAACTGGGCATTGGCCAGCATGTGCTGGATGTCCGGCTGCTGGCGACGTCCGATGAACTCGATGCCGTGCACCTTGCACTGGATGCCATTGTTCTGGCACTGCTTGATCACGATTTCGATCCACGGATAATAGGAGACGGCCTGCTGCATCAGCACCACACGATTCACGGTCGATCCGACGGGCACCCAGGTGTACTCCTTGAGGCTGTCGATGCAGTCGCCCACACGCACCTCCACCAGCGACGGCATGTGCGAATGATCCTCCGGACTGACGCGCAGCGCCAGACTGTGCACCAGGATGCGATCGTGCAGCTCCAGCCGTATCCAATGCCGGCAGGCGCCGCTCGAGCAGCTCTGCCAGGCCAGGCCGCTGCCGTCGAGCAGATGCTTCGCTGCCGCCTCATTGGAGCTCACGCTCAGCGAGCGTATGCAGCGCGACCAATCCTCAATGAGGTCGGCTTGAGGCGCCGCAGTCGCTGCTTGTCCAGCAGCTCCACTTGCGCCTCCTGCTGCTGCTCCCGGCGCACCCGCTGCCGCCGCGACTGCTGGACTCGGCTCCACGTCGTTGATGTGACCCTGCCAGTTGGGCTGGTCGGGAAACTCCACTGTCAGCTGCTTGCCCCGCATCGCCGTCACCAGGCCGTACTCCAGCTGGCTCCGTGAGCCGCCCAGCCGCATCAGTTGCCTCACCCGGGCGCCCACAGCTATGGGCGGCGGCGGGCGTGGCAATGGTAGTAAATGCGATCCCGGCTGTGCCGGCTCCACCAGTTCGATGTGCACGAAACATACCCAGTAGGTGCTGCCATGATTGCGCCAATCCACCTGCACGTTCAGATCGTGCAGCCCCTCAGTGTCCACAATAAGCACGGTGCCCATGTCGCCCTGCTTGATCTCCTCGAAGTCGCGACAGCAGCGCACCAGCATGCCCGGACGCACCAATCCCCGGACGTAGAGCGCATAGTGATCGGCAGTGGGAAAATCTTTGCGCGTATCGAACTTTTGCACCGGCTGATCCTCGACCGTGTCGGAGGATGAGGAGGTGCTGCTGTTGCTGCTGGTGGTGCTAGTGGTGGTGGTGGTGGTGGTGCTGCTGCTGCTGCTCCGACTGCTGCCATTGGCGGCCGCTGTCGGCTCCACTGCCTCCACATCGATGGTATTCGCACAGACATCCGGATGCTCCAGTATCCATTGCACGATTTGCTCCGGCGTCGGCACAGCCTCCGCCTGCAGCGACAGCTGCTTCAGTGCCAGCTCCACATTGCGTCGCGTGAAGCCCATTTCCATAATCTGCTCAATTAGCTGGGCATCGCTGGCCGGCGGCGTTGCCTGGCTGAGCTGATCCGCTGGCGCCGGCGCCGACTGCTCCTTGGCCACGTTGTAAATGGCGATGCCATGGACCATGGTCGGCTGCGCTGGGCTGGCCAAGTGCACCGGCTGCAGCGCATTCTCCACGTTCAGCTGCTGATACGCCTGGCTGGCCAGCGTCTGGACGCAGTTGAGCGCCGCCGTGGCCAGATCCGTATAGCTATAGCATGCCTTCACCGGGGACGGTTGCGTGGCGCGCAGCAGCAGGACCTGAATGAGCAGCTGCTCCGACGGTTGATTGCTGCAGAGAGAGAGAGAGAGAGAGCGGGCTGTTAGAGGCCTAATCCTCTCTAGCAATGCATTCGCTCCTTACCTGCTGTTGTGGCCATTGTGGTTGTTGTTGCTGTGACTGCCGCTGCCGCTGTTGTTGGCCTCCGTGTGCTCCGAGTGCAGCTCCAGTTCCGCTTCGTTGAGCGCCTCCGCCTCCGGCTCCTCGCTGCACTCGTTCCCGCTGTAGACGCTGGCCGGTGCCCGCTGCTTGAGTATCTTGCGTAGCGCCGCCTGGTGGCGATAGAGGACGCCGTTCGTGTGCAGCACCGCCAGCTGCAGCTGCTGGCTGCGCAGCAGGCGCACGTCCAGCTTGCCCTCGCCCGCATTGAGCAGCTCCCAGTTGCCGGCGCCCGAGCCGGAGCCGGGACTGGGGCTGGCGGCGCCATAGAGCAGCACCGTCCAGGCGTTGAGCAGCATCTCGTTCATGGGCAGACGCGTCAGGCTGAACACGCTGTGGTCCAGCTGCGGCAGCACCGTGGCCAGCGGCACCTTGACCAAGCCCTGCGCCAGATTGGCGACCGCCGGCGGAGCGCTGTGGGCCAGCAGGCAGCGGCCCTTGTGGGTGAAGCTGGCGATGATCATGTGGCTGCCCTCGTGGAAGCAGTGGAGGCCGACACGCGGACGCAGATCGTAGCCGCCCATGGCGCTCAGCACGCCCAGCACCAGGCTCTGCTCCGTGTCCAGCGGCGTCTGCGGCAGCTGCGATTCGCCCTGCAGCAGCTCGGCGGCGACGCAAAGCTTCTGTGCCAGGAACGAGTTGATCACCGCATTCCAATGCGGCAGCGTGTGCAGGCGACGCAGCAGCGCCACTAGCTCCTCGGCGACGGTGCCCGAGTGGGAGGCGGTCAGCAGGACTCGCGCCTTGCCGCCCTCCTGCACCGGCTGCAGCGTCACATCGCCCGGACAATGCAATGCGATGCGTCCCAGTGTGGCGAAGAGCTGACGCACCAGGCCAGCCATGCGCGGCTCCTGCTCCACGCCCCACGAGCTGAGGATGCACTGCATCAGGCGCAGGCAGTGCAGCTGACGATAGACCCCACGTTCCGTGCCCGCCGGCTGCTCCAGCAGCGCAAAGTAGTGCGACAGCCAATTCGGCGAGCTCAGCTCCAGGCACAGCCGTGGACAGTCACCTGGAAGGATCACCAAAAAGCACACAGATATATATATATATGGTCAGATTGCCATGCGCTCGCTCGCCTGCTCACCTGCTATGGCACGTATAAAGCCAAGGTTCAGCCAGTTGAGGCAGTGCACCACATTGGCCAGCGCCGGCTTCGGATCGACTATGGCACGGAACATGCTCGTGATGCCACGGAGCGCATACTTGTCCAGCTGGGCGCCGTGCAGACCGCTGCCCACGGCCAGGATTTGCAGGAGCTTGGAGGCGCAGTGCCTCAGAAGCTTAGTGGGATGCGATTCACTGCTGGGCGGTGGCTCCAAGGTGCCCAGCTCCTCGCGCTCCGGTTCCGTGGGCGATGCCACATTGAGAGCACTGTCCGCCAGCTGCAGATCGTATTGGCCCTCCTTGCCCATGCGATAGGAGTTGGTGGCGCCCGTATACCACTCGACACGCACCCACCTGTTGGAGGAGGAATCACACACAATTAGCAATGGAATCTCAATGGCCTCCTGCCGTTTGTTGCCACTCACCCGTCCTCGCCCACCTCGCTGATGATGCGCCCCTCGCCCGGCGGATTGCCATCCTGATCGCCCCACTTCCAGTCGGCGCCGCGCACAATCCGCGTGCCGATCTTCATGAGCTTGGCCAGATCCGGTCCGCTCAGCTGCGCCTTGCTGCACTTCTGCTTCAGCACGCTGTCCTCGTAGAGGACGCTCAGCTCGCAGTTGTTCGACTTGACGTTGCCCTCGCCGCCCGTCTGGGCCAGCAGACCCAGGACGGTGCCCAGCAGGCCAGAGTTGATGAGCAGCCCCAGCTCGTTGGCGCCCAGCTCCTTGGCCAGCAGCCCGAACACGCTGATCAGGAAGCGGGCGCGTGGCAAGCGCTTGAGCAGCACATAGGTGCTCAGGTTGCAGCTGTCCTTGCCGCGAGCAGCGCCCTGCTGCTCCTGGTTGACCAGGCGGCGCAGTTCGCGCACCGCCCATTCGAGGACTCGGGACTGGGCGAGCAGGAGGCGGGCCTTCTGGTATGCGCTCACCATGTTCAGCTGGCCGAGCACATGCTGCGGCGACGCGCCACTGGCCGCCGACTTCAGATGCAGCCCCAGGTAGCCATTGAGCAGGCTGTACTGGGCGGCGTCCAGCAGGCCGTGCAGCTCCAGGAGCTGCTGCACCAGCTGCAGCCCGGCCAGACGCAGCTGGAAGCGCTGCATTTGACAGTACATGGCGCGTCGCACCGTCTCCACGTCGCAGCTGTCCTGGAGCGCAAAGTCCACGATGTCCTGCATGAGTGTCGCATCCAGCTCGATGTCCGTCTGCAGCTGGCGTTCGTTCAGCCGCCGCAGCAGCGACTCCTCCTCGTCCAGTTGCTTCTGCTGCTTTGGCTTCTTCTTCTCCTCCTCCTCCTGCTGCTGCTGCTGTTCGTGTTGATCGTAGATGAGGAGCTCCTGTTGTTGCTGCTGCTGCTGCTGCTGCTGGATGCTGGCATTGAGCAGATCCTCGGGCTTGGCCACCGGCTGTTGCTTGGCGGTGCGCAGCTCCTGCAGGAGGCGTCGCACCAGCAGCCGGAATCGCGGCAGACGCTGCAAAATCGGCAGCCGGCGCAGTCCGCGCTGCTGCGGACTGATGGCAGGACGCACCTCGTAGAGCAGGAAGCGCAGACGCTCCAGGACGGGCGCACAGACCTCCTTGTAGCTGCGATTGAGCTGCTGCCGCGTCCGCACCACCGACCACTTGGCCTGGTGCACCAGACGTATGATCTCGCCCAGCTGCTTGGGCAGCGACTGCTGCTGCTGCTGCTGCTGCTGCGGTGGCTGCTGCTGCTGCTCGCCCAAGGGCATCGCCTCCAGAGCACTGAGCACCAGACCGCCCAGGCACTGATGCCGCAACAGAACGGCGCTCAGCAGACGCTCCAGCTCCTGCACCGGATGCTCGGTGGCGAACTCCTGGTGCCACATCAAATTGTGCGCCTTGCAGTAGCGTTCGGTCAGTGTCAGCCAATTGGCCACCAGCGGGTCACTGAGTCGCGCCTCCGCCAGTCCCGCAATGAAGCTATCCACGCGATTCTGCAGCTGCGCCTTGGGCGGCGGCGGCAGTGGTGCCTCACACGTGGGCGTGTTGCCCGCCGTGCTGTGGCTGCTGCGCGCCTCGCCCTTCTCCTCGTCGAACGGATTGTTGGGCTGCAGCATGAGCAGGCCGCCGCTGAGCAGCGACGACTTGTCCAGCTGGCGGCACTGCAGCTCCGCTGGCTGCAGGCTCGGGCCGCTGCACATGAGATTGGCGACCAGGCCCAGCAGCTGGGCCAGCGCACACTCCGAGCTGAAGTGCGTCAGCCGTGTGGCACCCGGCGTCGCCGTCTGCAATGAGAGGCCAATGTCAATGGATTGCCCCAGCTGGGAAGTGTGTTGCTTACCTTCTCCTCGCTGGCGCTCTGATTGGCTAGGTATTTGCCCAGCTTGTGATGCTGCAGCAGCTGCTCCATGGCGCTGCGATACGCCGGCGTGCTCAGCTCCGCGCTCAAATCCTTGCCCAGACCCAGATCCAGCAGGGCGCGCATGTTGTCCGACTCACAGCTGTAAGGACACACAATTAATTAAAGGCCCACTCTGGATATGCATATGAATCCCCTCCCTCCCGTCCCACTCACTTGTAGCCATTGAGATCACAAACGTAGCCGGCCACAATGATGCAGCGGCCGCCGTCGAGCAGCAGATTCTCCATGTCGCAGCGCCGGACGTAGTGCGTCTCCGGGTCGGCAGCAGGGGGCGGTGCTCCGCCCTTGGGGCCGCCGCGACAAATGATGCCCGGCCAGCCCATGTCGTCGTTGTCGCGCAGTTCGCCCTCGCCCAGGGCGCGGTTCAGCCGATCAAGCACGCGCAGCAGCGGCAGGAAGAGGCGGGCCCAGCGCAGGCTGGCCAGGCACTGGGGGCGATCACGCTTCAGCAGCACCAGGCCCACCAGCAGCTCGTGCAGCAGAGCGTCCGAGATGTCCGACTGGAGCACACGATTTAGCGCAGCGCCCAACAGCTGGGCGCCCAGCGTCACCAGCTCGCCCGACTCCCGGCACTGCAGGGCCAGCTCCTGGGCCTGCTGCAGCGTGCTGACGCAGGCCGGAATCAGGCTGTGCAGGTATTGGGCGAGCAGCGCCTCGGCTCCCGTTGTGTCCTCCTCGGGGCCCGCCTGATGAATGTGCGCCAGGAGCAGCCGCTGAAAGCGATGCAGCAAACAGAGACTGGGACTCGTGCCGGGCTGCTGTTGCTGCTGCTGCAGCAGGAAATGTTGCTGCTGCTGCTGATGATGCTGGTGATGATGGTGATGCTGGTGCTGGTGCTGATGCTGGTGGTACAGATGCTGCTGGTACTGGTGGTGGTGATGATGGTGCAGGTGGTCCTCCTCTGCGGGCTGTTGCTGCTGCTGCTGCTGCTGCTTGACCAGCAACGTCAGGGAGAGACGACTCTGCGTGAGCGAGGCATTGTTGCCCAGGAGCCGCGTGATCAGCTGCAGCAGCGGCAGATGCGCACCGTCGTTGCAGTCCGTGGAGCAGGAGCTACTCTCCAGTCGTATGGCGTGCTGCAGCGCCGTCTCCAGGCCGCCCTCGGCCATCAGCGAGCTGACCAGCAGATCTGTCATGAAACGATGTCCCGGCGAGCACGCCTGCCCCGGCTCCGAGGGCAGCAGCGCCGTTAGCGTCTGTGCGCGTTCCGCTGCCGTGGGCAGGAGCACGCTCCAGCCATCCTGCAAAGGGAAGAGTAAGAGATGATATTCTGGTTTATCATTATGGGGAATTCACTCAGTACCTGGAGTGCCTGCTGGGCGGCCACTTGGATGGTGCGCAGCACCTGGCTGCCGCCGGCTAAACTGAGAATGCGGGTCTTGAGGCTGTTGAGTAGTCGTCCGCCGCTGGCCAGGCCAACGGTGCGCGGCTCCACGCCGTTGGCGATCAGCGCCAGCAGCTGGAGCCGCACCAGATTCAAGCAGGCGACGGCAATGCATTCGGACTCCTGGTTGGGTGTCTGGCGATTATCCTGCGCCGTGCTGGCACTGCACATGCCCAGCAGCTGGTCGAGCAGTCGGAATGTGGGTTCGCCCAGGTCGATGACAAATGGTGCACGCAACGGCACACCCTGCCGCGTGCTCTGCGTCCAGATCAGGCTCTGTGTGGCCGTGCAGGCAATGCCGCTGGCCGGCAGCGTGGGCAGGGTGACCTGGATGGGCTGCCGGAGCAGCGGCTCACTGCAAACGGAGGCGGGACATATCTGTTGATTGTCGTTGCGGCCCCAGCCAAAGATCTCGCCGTTGCTGCTCAGCGCCAAGCAGTGGGCCACGCCCACGGCCACGTCCACAATGCGCTTGTGCTGCAAATCAGAACGAGACCAGGATTAGCTGATTCCCGATTGCCCAAGAGAGAGAGAGAGAGAGAGAGAGAGACTCACCTGGAGGCCTGTTATCAATCTGGGCACACTGCAGCCCTGCACGTTGCGCTCGACCAGCTGGTGGCCCAGGCAGGAGGCCTTGCCCCAGCTGTAGAGCTGGCCCTCGCAGCTGAGCGCCAGCGAGAACTGGGCGCCCGCATAGACGCGCTGCACCCGCGGCAGGCAGTCGATGAGCTGCGGCAGGAGGCTGCTGTTGCAGCTGCCGTTGCCCAGCTTGCCGTAGTCGCCATCGCCCCAGGCAAAGACCAGTCCCTCGCTGGTCAGGCACAGGGTATGGGCATCGCCGCTGCCCAGCGCCACGTCCACCACCTGATGATCCTTGAGCGCCATCACCATGGCGGGCAGACACTGATCATCCGAGGTGCCATGTCCCAGACGGCCGTAGGTGCCACGGCCCCACGTATACAGATTGCCGCCCAGCGTGATGGCCGCGCTGTACGAGCAGCCGCAGTAGACGGCCTTCACCAGGCGCACCAAGCTCTCGATCTTGGTGGGCAGCTCACGGGCATGGCAATCGCCGTGACCCAGCCGCCGGCTGTCTCCGACTCCCCACGAATAGGCGTTAACTAAAGGAGGGAAAGATTAGTCAAGGCTTCGCTGCTCCATCTGACGGAAGCTTCCACTTACAGTTGCTGTCCACGGCCAGGAAGTGGCGGCCCTCGCAGTGGGCGGCTATGGAGATGAACGTCTCGTTGGCTATTTCGGCAAAGTCCAGCTGCTGGGGCTCGGCCTCCGGCTTGGCAATGTGCCAGTTGTAGAGCTTGCCCTCCTTGCTGAGCAGCAGCACCACATCCTCGCTGCAGGCCACCTGCTGCACCTGGAACTTGCAGGGGAGCAGCGGCGGCGGTGGCGGTGCCGGCGGCTGCTGGCAGGCGGATGCATTGCTCCAGCTCAGGGCGGGCTCCACGTTGAAGCCCGGCTGCTCCTTGGAGAGCGCTGGCCAGCCCAGGGCATAGACGCGTTGCTGCTCCCACATGTTTATGGGCGTCGTTGTGGGCGTGGCCGTGGCAGGGGCCGCCATGGGCAGGAGATTCGTCAATTGCGGCATGTGCGGCTGCACCAGCCGATCCAGATGGGAGATGATGACCACAGCGGCACGCCGTAGATCCACAATGGCCGCCGAGCTCTTGGGCAGCATGAGAAAGCGCAGAAACGTTTCGGTGGCGCTGGCCAGCGGCGTCGGCAGCTCCACGTTCGGATTGGGGCAGCCACTGTGACCATGATGATGATGCACTGGCTCGGCGCCCAGGCGCTGATACCGTTGCAGGATGCGCAGCAGCGGAGCGCCCGACTTGCGCGGCATGTCACGATTATCGCCATTCACACCGCCATGTCCGTGGGCGTGGCCATGCACATGTCCATGCGCATGGCCATTGTCGTTGTCCTTCTCCCAGAGCAACAGCAGCAGCACCACGCACTCCAGCGTGGCGGCCAGCGTGCCCTTCTGCACGCCCAGCTCCAGCAGCAGGCACAGAGCCGTATGCCTATCCGCCAGCGGGGCCAGGCAGCGCCCGCCCATGGGATCGCCGAGGGCGACGAGACGCAGAAACTTGATCGAGCGCTCCATCACCTCCAGCCAGAGCGGCGACACCTGGGCGGCCGAGTCGAAGAGCGTCGCCTCCGGCAGCTCCTGCAGCGATTCCAGAGCCTCACTCAACAGCTCGCTGCACATTTCCATATCCTCGCCGGAGCGCCAGGCGCGACGCAGAAAGGCAAAGCTGAAATTGAGAGCGGCTCGTGTGCCGACGCGCGCCAAACCCAGCGCCGCATGCTCCGGCTCCATCTGCGGCGGGCGTCGCGGCTGCTCCTGTTCGGGTGGAGCGGCCGCAGTGCAGTCCTCCGACTGCTGTTGTGCGGCTGAAGAAGGATGCGTCGATTGCTGCTGCTGCTGCTGCTGGTTCTGTTGGTTCTGCTGCAGCAGATTTCGCTTGAGGGCCACAAAATACCGTTCGTAGATGAAGAGCTGCTGGCGCAGTTGCTGCGCCGAGAGACAGTTGCCGGCGGCGCGCAGCGAGAGGTCGTGGAGCTCAGCGATCATGGTGCGCTGGCAGTCGTGCTTGGCTAGCTGATTGGGCGGCTGGCTCCACATCCAGCTGCTCAGCGTCAGCTCTGTGGCGTGCAGTTGCCCGGCCGTGGCCTGCTGGGCCGCCGCCGAGGTTAGCTTCTTGATGGCCATGTCCGAGTCGAGGGGTCGGCAGCCGTCGCAGTTGCAGGCGGAGAGTGGGCCACAGTACTCGGGCTGGCAGCAGGCGCACTGCAGCGCCTGGGCGCCACAGTAGTGCTTGCCATCGTCGCCCAGGTAGGAGAGCTGGCCGCGTGCATTCAGCAGCGGCGCCGTCGGCGAGGACACCAGTTCGCAATCCTGAATCAGATGATTCCAGAGCACGGCGCCCTCGGCACCGTTGCGCAGGCAGGCAATGAGATCGGCGCGTAGCCATTTGGCGTCCAGGTAGGGCAGCGGGCGCAAATAGAGATCACTGATGGGTGTGGCAACACTGGCATGGCTGCTGGAGCCGCTGGACGTATGTGCTGGAGCTTCTGAAGCGGCCGCTGCAGCGGCCGCAGCAGCAGAAGCCGTTCCAGCGTTGCCCAGCCGATTGAACGTGAACATGGCGGGGGAGAGCGCGCGCGTGGGAGGGAATGTGTGTCCTTAGTGTAAAAGTTCACAGCACTGGAATCCAGCAAACGCTGCTGCATTCAATATTGACATGGCACATTTGTTTTTCCAAGACTTTCGTTTTTCTCGTTAATAGCTTTGATTGTTTTCTTTTTATTGTTTATGTTTGTTCTTTCTTATTGTTCGTTTTCTTTTTTTCTTGATTATTCTCTAGTTGTTTCTGTTGTGGCAAGACACACGATTAGAAGAAGAAGAAGCAGAGTAACGGTTACTAGCTGCTTGAACGAGGCAGCGAGCAGCGGGCAGCAGGCGGTCGGACGGTCGGGCGGCCGTCGGCCCAGTTGCAGGCTCAGTCAATGTCGTCAGACCAACCAGCACACCCACACACGCGAACAGCCTTCTCACACACACAGAGACAAGACAAGAGACACACGCACAAATAGTGGCTTAGAATGAATCGTAGTTTTCATTTTCATTGCACTTGTGTCTGTGTGTGTGCATATGTGTGAGAGCAAAAAATAACAAAAAAAAAAATAATGCAATATAACTCTTGCGTTGATTTAATACACTTGTCGCACTAATATGCTTTAAATTGTTGATTAAGTTCAAGAACAATTCACGTTAGTTTGTTATGCATTTCTTAAATTAAGTGAAATATATTTAATCAATTAATAGTCGCCGTTGTTCTGCCTGCTACGCGAGGCTGCCAACCTGCTTGCGAAAAAAAAAAACAAAAACACTTATCGATTAATGTTGTTGCAATTTTTCGCCCAACTTATCGAGCGACACTATCTGGCAGCACTGGCTGATTGCCTAGTTTTTTTCGAAAACTGCAATTGCGGGCAGTGCAGCAGCTTTTCGAAAACCAGGTCATATTATCTAAAAATAAATGCATATGTACAACTTGTTAGTAGCTGCAGCTGGATGACCTTTCATTCAGCCAGTCGGCTTAACGAAAATTTGTTATCTTTCTTTTTTTTGTCATTATGACCTCATCGTAGCTCAACCCAATTTCAGGCATAAATCAACCCTCAATTACCGCCTGGTATAGTAAAGCCCACTTTTGTGCTCCCGCCCCATTCACAGTGCGTGAGTTTAATGGATGGGGTTACATACTATAGCAGATTGAATGGCAACAATTTGTGTGTGTACTGTAGAGGAATAATTCGTTTATTTATCGAATACATTGAAATGCATACACGAGTTGTTCTCAATTTGTTTTTTGTGTTTTTTTGTTTGTTTTCTTTTATATTTATATTACTTTGTATTTGTTTAAATAAATAAGATACATACGTTTAATCAATAATAGCAGTATTTATCGTGCAAATTTGATAAGCATAATAATGTTTTACGTTTACGTTTTGCTCTTTCTCTCTTGCAAGATTTTTTTTTTTTGTTTTTTATGAAATAAGTTTTGCATTAAATATATGAAAAAAATATATGTATTTTTGTTGTTTTTTTTTTTTTTTTTTTTTTTTTTTTTTTTGAAATAAGTTTTGCATTAAATATATGAAAAAAATATATTTATTTTTTTTTTTTTTTTTTTTTTTTTTTTTTTGTATTGTTTTAATTAGCTGCTCTTATATAATTGCATTTACTTTTTCTTTAAAGTAAAAAACGATCTGCGCTTTGGTTCGTCCTTTTGTGAAGTAGCTGGCAAAGTTTGGGATCTGCTAGCTGCCACAGCTGCCGATTCGCTCTGGGCCTTCAAAGCGGACACCCACTGTGACATCTCGGTATCATCGTGGGCCTGCAGCAAGAACTCAGCGCCACTAGCGAGCCTAGGCATTCGAAGAAGAGAGAGAGAGAGACAGAGATTTAATTGAGCTCCTCCAATTCGATTTCGCATTTCAATACTCACTTTACTCGCAGCACGTGCTTCTTCTTGGTATAATCACTGGCTATTTCGATGACAGCGCCTTGCAGATCATAGCTGGGCTCACCGCGGAAGGTCAATTCGGGATTGCTCTTGCAACCCTTCTGATCTTTGAAGAACGAAACGCGTCCGCTTCGTGCAGCCATGTAAACCTGATAGACAATGCATATTAGATTTATGTATGTATAGAGCGAAGATATCTTGTTGTTGTTGCTTACCTTATCCCAGGATCTATTGGATGCCTTCTTGGTAGCCGACTCCCATTCATGCTTTCGGGTCACATATCCCTCCTGACCATCTCCAGCAGCTGGTGTGGCGCCACGCTCTACATAAGAAACTTTGATTAAATGATGCACAAAATAAAACATAACAGATATACATATATATATATATGTATATATAGATGTATAAACTTTGAAATGAGAAAGATGCATATGATTGGTTACACATAGTTAGATATAGATAGATAGTTAGTTAGAGTGCTCCTTGACCTTGACTTGGACAAGCAAGCAGGCTATACCTGTTTGGGTCTCGATAACGCGCTCGGTATCGACGGCTGTGTCTGCAGCAGCTGCGTTTCGTTTGGGTTAGTTTGATGAGTGTTGTTAATCCGTCATTATGTATATAGATATATTGTAAGCATGATTGAATGAGATGTAATATTCAGAATTTAATTGTGGTCATGTACGTACATACGAGCGTAGATCAGAGATTGTTAATAAGAATGGTTAATTGACAGTTAGACAGGTGAGGTAAGTGGTTAATGTGTGGTGCTTCCATTCCCATCTAATCCTACCTGCTTCGTCATGGGCTCCAGCGGCCACATCGACATCATCGCGACGCTCGGCCTCACGCTTGGCCAACTCTGCAGCCTCGGATGCGGCCTTAGCCTCCTGCTCCTCCTTAATGCGCTGGCGTTCAGCCTCTTCCGCTTTCTCTTGGCGCCTTTTCATTTCCTTAAGCTCAAACTGCACGAGAAAATTTATTGATTATTAGAATATTGTGTGAGTCGAACGACAGTCGAATGAGAATTGAATCAAATTCTGTTCAAACGACAGACAGCTCAATCGAATGAGCAATCGAATGAGAAGCAAATGTCATGGCTTACTGTTGTCAAACGCTCAAGTGCGCTGAAGCGCTCCTCCTGTGCGGCGGCTGACTTTTCGAATGCCTCGTGCTTCTTAATCAGATTCTCAACCTCATCGATGGTGTGTCCCAGCTCGGAGGAGAGCAGATATGGCTCTTGGGCAATAAGCCAAGCCTCGGCAACGGCAGCATCTCGGGCAAACTGGTAGACCTCCAGAACTGAAAAGTTGACGACATTTCGATTAGGCACATTCGATAACGGACTCGATTATATTGGGTGACATACTCAATTGCAGATTCTCCCAACGTTCCTCCCAGCGTAGGAGCAGGGCATTGCGACTGTTGTTCAGCTGCTTCAGGCGATCCTTGATGTCAGCGGAGGCATAATGATTGCGCGTTAACAGCTCCTTGCCTAGCGATATGCACGCACTGAAGTTATCCTCGCGCGTATCGATCTCGGCCTTTAGACTCTGATGGTTGTTCATGAGCAGCTCGACGCCGGATACGTCGCGCGGCTTCTCCGAAGTGTTCATCTGGCGCACCAGATCCTCCATCCAGATGGTGAGGATGCGCACCATATTAAAGAACCGGAACAGATCGCCGGTGTCGGCCAACTTTTGTCTGCGCGCATCGCACATAGCCTGCAGATTGTCCCAGGCATGGAGCACTTCCTGTTCCCGATTGGTTATCTCCTTGGCCTTGTCGCCGGCATAGGCATCCTGCAGCTTGGCAGATTCCTCCTGAATCTGCTGCACTTGCGAGTACAGAGTTGTCAGATCCTGCAGGAAGTTGTAATGCTTACGCTGCAACGTTGACACGGAGCCAGCGTCACGGCCCAGCTCATCGGAGACGCCGTGCTGCTTCTCGAGTATGCGTCCCAGGACATCTTTGCAGTCATGGAAGAATTTGTGCAACTCGCGCGATGCGGCCAACATCTGGGTACGTGTCTCAATCAGCTCCAACAGATCCTGCCACGACTCGTTCAGATTATCCTTCCACTCGGCAATCGTTGCCGAATCCGAATGTCCAGCCTGTATCAGATTATCCGCAATGCCATTCACCTTGGCCACGCGTTCGCCTCCCACCGCCTCGGTGTCGCGGGCAAACTCATTGAAACGTTCCGAGAGTAGTGTCACATGATCATAGTCCTGGCCCAGCTCCTGTGAGCCGGCAACCACCTCACGATCGGTAATCCATTGCTCTAGATCGTCAACCTCGCGGCTCAGCATGAACAGCTGCAGTGCTTCATTCAAGCGAGCGCGACGCTCGCCAGCCAGATCCTTGAGACCTGCGTACAGCTTGTCCAGCTGGGACTGCTTGACGGCAACGGCATCACCGCTGGACACATCATCGCTGCTGAATTGGCGTGCCACCTCGCCCAGCTGACGAATGGTGTTGGCATAGTCCTCAACGGATTGCTCAAGATTTTCGTGTTTCTTCATTAGATTTTGGGCGCTGATCTCGTCCTTGCCGCGATCCTCGACCATCATGTAGAGCTCCTGTTCGCTCATCCACGACTCAGCCTCCTGGGCATCGAAGAAATACTGCTGCACCTTCTCCGACTCGAGCAGATGACGCTTGCGATTCTCGATCGCATCCTTCAGCTCCTGCCATTTGGCTGTTAGGTCGCTGATCAGTGCCTCGAATTTCTTTGCATCCTCGTGACCCTCATCGATCAGCTTGCGTCCATTGTTGCAGATGGCGTTGATGCGTGGCTCGTGGTTATCGATTTCGGTGGCCAGCGATTGGTTCTTCTTCTTCAAAACATGCACATTGAAGAGGGAGTTGCCATAATCTGTGGAATTGGCCACGGGCAGCTTCTCATTGATCCAGAGCTTCTCATCCTCGACATCGCGACAGAACTGGAAGGCCTCCTTCTTCTTTTCCAGCTGCTTCTGGCGCTCCAGCAACGGCGCCTTGATCTTCTCGAAGCGCTCTAGCACTGCCGTCTTCTTGACGACAATCGGTTCGATCTTCTCCTCGGGCACTGTCTTTTGCAGATATTCGGTCTGCTTGTCAATCTCTTCGACTTGGCGTGCCTTGACCGCCATCTGGGTCTGGATGACCTGTTGCTTCTGCATGAGTATATTGACAGAGGTCAGATCGTTGGCAGTGTCACCGCTCACGATCTGCTTCTCCAGATCTGTAATGTAGGAGTCGATGTCATCGCATGTC